CCTAAGTTGCAAAAAAATGTTTTTTATTTAATTATTATTAAGTATGTTTTTGCGCAATTTTTGTTTAAAAATGCGCCTGAGTTTTGTCTAGTGTGTACGTCATGTGAAATTGAACTTATTTGTTTATTTATGTAACATACCTTTAAAAATATTTTCTAAAATAAAAATTCAATTTTTTACACACAACAAAATCAAAAAAATTTATTATTCTTTTGAAATAAAAATTAATCTTTTATAACAATAATCTCAAAAAATGTCTAGAAATTTATACAAAATTATTGAATCCCAATCAATAAATTTTTACCTGTGGGAAAAAACTATGATGTAATTATTTAATTAAAAAGTTTTTTATTTTATATATTTATTAATTAAATATATTTATTAATTAAAATATATTTATATCAAGGTTGAATTAAATGGTTCTATAGAAATCAGAAAGAATTTAAAGCATAACGAACAAAATAAAAAAAGAATGATTAAAATTCGTTAGAAATTGATAGAGTTGTATGTATTGAGAAAAATTTCGAAAATTTTTCGAAAATCATAAAATTCAAAAATCCAAAATGTAATTTTATTAATATTTAGTAGGGTTCCCTTTATTCATCTTCACTTGATAAATTCTACTAGGCAAACTATATATTAATCTATTTATATAATTTATATCTAAATTATACCACTCTGTTTTAAGTGCGTCAAATAATTCACTTTGATTCTTTGGTTTAACTTTATAATTTCGTATTTTTCTTTCCAATTCTGCCCATATATTTTCAATTGGATTAAGGTCAGGGCTTTGGGCTGACCAAGGTAGTGTCACTATCATATTTTCTTCCTTCCATCGATTGACAACTTGAGATCTATGTGCAGAAGCATTATCATCCTGAAAGATATAATTACTTGGCCCAAGCTGAATTAAAAATGGTATCAAATTTTCTCTAAGTATTTCAATATAAGTTTTAGAGTTGACACTTCCGTCAACTAATACGAGAGGACCTATTCTGTCTTTGCAAAAACAACCCCAAACCATAACTCCCTTTGATTTTTGGACAGTTGGTCTTAAACATTCTTTTTTGTACTTTTCATCAGATCTCCGCCAAACCCAATTTTTTGAATCATTATTAAATATTTCATATCTTGACTCATCACTAAAAATCACATAATTCCATTCATTGACCCATTTTATCCTCGTATTAGCCCATCCAAATTGTTTTTTGCGATTTTGTTCACTAACAAAGGGGTTTTTTTTTGCAACTCTTCCATAATAGCCCTTTGAGTGCAAAGCACGCTGTACAGTTCTAGTACTTACTTCTATAGGTTTGGCGATATTGAATTCATCTTTAATTTCTTCGACAGCTAATTTTCTTTTTTTTTTTACAATTTTTACAATTTCTCTCTTGTCACGTTCATCCAAAATCTGGGGCCTTCCAGTACGTGGTTTAGTAGTAAAGGATGAATTTTTATACCTAGTAATATTGTCAGAAATAGTAGATTTTGGAATTTCTAAAGCTTCAGCTATTTCTCTTATCGTATGCCTTTTACCCTTCCATAAACCATAGATAGCACCACGCTCAAAATCTGTAAGTTCTCTTGTTTTTGTCATTTTAATAAATTCAAAAAATTCAAAACAATAATTTTTTGAATTTTGTGATTTTCGAAAAATTTTCGAAAATTTTCTCAATACATACAACTCTATCAATTTCTAACGAATTTTAATCATCCTTTTTTATTTTGTTCTTTATGCTTTAAATTCTTTTATGAAGTTTTCAGACTTTTTATTATTATGTGGGATATTTTATGGGACAAAAAAAAGTCTTGGGAACCAATATTTTTAAACGATTTTAAGAATTTACATATCACCCAAAAACTATATTTTATTAGATTATAAATATTAATGAAAATATGCAATTTCGAACATTTGAAATGCAGTTACTTAGGACAAAAAGCCATGTTTTCTCACTAGTTTTCGAGTATTTTTGTGTAAAACACGCAGAAATGTCGCGGAAATTTACATGATATACATCTTGTCCAGATACTTTTGGCAGGTGAGTGTATTTGCATAAAAGAAAATTTTTCTTTGTAGGTAGTAAAAAAATAGATAAATATTATAATAAGATTATTTTCCTTCCAAAGACTTCTGCTTTTTGTTGGGTAATAATGCATCATCATGACGCTTTCTTTTCCGACATTTATTATTTTTCTTTCTTCTTGGTAAATTTCATAAGTAATATTTTCTTTCCTTAAATAAGCTTCTAGTGTTGGAGCAATTTTTTCACCTTGTTTCTTCTTCAAAATACTTCTGATAGTACTATAATTCTTGGGTTCCATAGTGGATCTGATAATCGAATTAAGCAACTAGAAGAAGAAAACAAACAACCAAAAGAATTAACTCCACAAGAATTATTAAAAGAAATCAATGATTTAAAAGCTCAATAAACCCAATTACAACAACAGAATGGTCAATTAACTGCACAAATTGAATTTAAAGAAACTAAGAAATGACCTTGATTGAAAATAAAAGGTAATTAAAAATTAACAAAGTTGAAAAAAAAGTAATTATTTTGTTTTAGTTTTTTATTCTGCCAGTTTTCTTTTTTTTCTTGATTCTTTACTAGAGTTCTCTAATACTCTTTTGAAAACTCTTTCCTCTTGATAAATTTCATAAGTAATCCTTTCTTTGTCTAAATATGTTTGCAAAGATTTGGTTTAAAAATGTAAGGAGCAATTTTTTCACCTTGTTCTTTTTTCAAAATACTTCTGATAGTACTATAATTCTTGGGTTCCATAGTGGATCTAATATAAATGAGTTTCATATTAACTATTTTTATATAGGGATAATTCTATATATCACTTAAGATAACAAATGGGATATTATAAGACTGTTAATTATGATCACATTACAAATGACTAATTTTTGATCCCTGAATTTCTTGGTAATACAAATGTTCACTTTGCCTGGTTTTGTTGCAGTATGCCCCAATTTATGATTGTGAAAAATGTGTTTTTTTAGCTGGGTGTCATCAGGTAATAATAACAATAGTATTAATAAGAAGAGCATTACATTATTATCACTATTAAGTTAATATTTAATTAGTTTTGTATGCACACATCAAAGCAAATTTCAGTATATCTTCATCATCTGATAATTGAAGATTGTGAACATTCATTTTGGATTTTATGCATTAACAACATTTCCTGAACTAGATAAAATGTTTGAGGTAAATAAATGTTATATATATACATATTTAATCATATATAATTAATTAGATTTATTTATTTAAAATCAGTTTCCTTCCTTCACCCCTTTTTCTTAGATGGTAAAATTAGATTTGAAAATTAATAAATATGATAAAGTCAATCTTTTCACCAGAAAATATATATAATGGCCTTTAGTTTTAATAGTGATAACAATATAAATATTGTAGAGACTATCAAAAATCTCAAGGATATTAAATCAAAGATTATTTAGTATTGTTGCTGCTATTGTTATTATTATCTTATAAAAAAAATGATCATCTTTGAAATTAAAGATTTCGTTATTATTGTATAAAGACATCCATATAAGGTTGTGGGCAAAACCTCTTAATGACTGTCGAAACTCTGTCGAAACTCTAATGAACAATTAATGTGTAACCTGT